CCAAAAGAGTGCCAGAAAATTTCTGCTTACCTGCAGAAACAAGACAGAGTAGGTCAAACAAACGACCAAGAGGAAGAGCTAGTAATTGCATTGAAGGGAGAAGAAGCTGTGGCATTACCTGAAAAAGAATTCAGGAGAATGATATTGAGGTGTACCCAAATGTTCCACATATAGGTCAAGAAAAATAAGGAAGAAGTCAGAAAAGAGATACAAGAACAATCAAACTAAATAGCCATAGCATTGGAAACAATAAAACACTGCAAAGAGATAATAACAGAATACTATGAAGAGTTGTACTCCAGAAATTTGAAAATCTTGAGGAAATGGATACATTAAAACAAAACAAAACAAAACATATATATATATATATATATAACCTACCTAAACTTATAAAGAGTGAAGTAGAAAACTTCAACAGATATATAACAAAAGAAGAGTGAAAAGCAGAGACAACACATAGGAAAAAGAGAGTCATTAACATACTGAGAGGAAAGGTGAATGTTATGGTTTAAACTGTCTACTCCACAGTAAGTGTTGGCATCCTAACCCCTCTACCTCTAGATACACTCCTTTATCCTTCAAGGCCCAACTCAAGTCCTACCACCTACATGAATTCTCCAGGCCACATGACTCTCTACACTCCCTTTATTTCAGGGCCATTAGCTGAGTCCTGATTATGTGCTCTGCTACTACCCATTCAGTGCTATCTAACAGTTTCATCTGTACAGATAACGGTCTTACTTTTCCAATTCAATTCTAAATTCCTTAAGGGTAGGAGCTGCTTTGGTGCAAGTCTTCACAATGTTTCGGTCTGTTATACACAAGGTTGCTATAAATTGAAATTAACTCAATGAGAACTAACACTACTAGGGACAGACTCACCACCCACATACCATGCAGTTACCAAACATTGCCTCATTCACTCATTGACACATCACTGATCTCTGCCTTTACTGGTAACCAGCTTTCAGTAGCACCTGGAGTCTCTTATGACCACACATTCATTTGCTCACTCATATACACTGAGGCAGAGCTGGGTATCCTAAAACAAAAAGGACATAATCCTTTCTCCTGCCAATCTTTTAGAACAACCTTCACAAAGGGCAAATGTTAAGTGAAAAGAGCACAGACCTGAAAGTTAGGAGACCTGGCTCTAGTCAATGGTCCTTGCTAGCTATGGATTAATTACCCCCTTACTTTGAGCCTCAGTCTTCAACATGTAAAATATGAAAGACAGTCTATAGGAACTCTTCCATTTCTAGGTAAGAATGTTTTATAGCCTGTAGTGTATATGTGAGGGAGAAGGGCAAGCTAGCAAAAGAGAACTAATATTTACCAAATAATTTTAACACGTAGGTGGATTATTCCATTTAGTAACTGAGTAAGCCAGAGGCAAGATCATTACATAACTTGTGTAGGGATCACACAACTGAGAAGCAGCAGAGTTCATGTATTTATTCTATGAATATTTACCTTGAACCTTGTATGTGTGGGATACTCAGCTAAGTGCTAGAGATACAGTATTGATGGGAACACAGTCCCTACCCTGTTTATCTGTCTCCTCTACTGAACCCCCAAAACAAATACACTGCCATCAAGTTGATTCCAGCTCATGTTGTTTGTTGTTAGGTGCCTTCAAATTAATTCCAACATACAGCGAACCTATGCACAACAGAACGAAACACTGCCAGTCTTGTGCCATCCTCACAACTGTTGTTATGTTTGAGCCCATTGTTGCTGCCACTGTGCCAATCAATCTCGTTGGGACTCTTCCTCTTTTTTGCTGATCCCCCACTTTACCAAGCATGACGTCCTTCTCCAGGGACTGGTCCCTAAATAACATGTTCAAAGTATGAGAGAAGAAGTACTTTCCAACTCATAATGATCCTATGTAGGGTTTCTGAGACTATAAATCTTTATTGGAGCAGACAGCCTCATCTTTCTCTTGATGAGCAGATGGTGGGTTTGAACCACCAAAGTTGCAGTTAGCAGCACCCCAATGCCAATCCATGGCACAATCAACGCTCGTACCTCTACTCAACAAGCAGCAGTTCAGTGGGAAGTATCCACCAGGGGTAAATGCGGGGTGCTCTGGAAGCACACAAAGAAGTCACCTCTCACTCAGCCAAAAGAATGCAAGACATGTTCTTCAATGTCTACCCCAGAAGACTAGGAATTACCATGGTAAGCAGAGAGGGACATGGACGGGGTTGAATTGGGAGAAAAATGAGTCTGCCAAGTAGAGGAAAAGTAGGTCAAAGTCAAGTACAAGAAAGAGTGTTCAGCAGCTCTATAACGTATAGTTGGAAGTCAATATATTTGAAGCAGGGTTAAAACTAGAGTATAGGAGGCCTTGGTAGCAAAACAGTTAAGTCTTCAGTGGCTGTCCCAAAGGTTGGTGGTTTGAACCCACCTAGCAACCCCAAGGGAGGAAGACCTGGTTTTCTCTTATAAAGGCTAGTCAAGAAAACTCAATGGGGTAGTTTTACAGTTTTATCATGTGGGGTAAATAAGAGTTGGAATCTACTTGACAGCATCTAACAACAAGAAGTGTTAAGACCAGAGAGGGAGTCAGGAGTCAGATCACAAAGAGCTCTGTGAGTCCCTTTACAGAATTTTAAATTACACTCAGGGCCAAGATAAATTGGGTTTGAGAACAGAATAGAAATTAAGTTTTCCTTGACTTTATGTAGACTGCATGGATGCCAGGCAAAAGTACACGTTAGCATCAACTGGAGTGATCAGTGCCACGCATGACTTCTTAATGAGCATTTCCAGCTCATGCACATGTTGTTTTTTTATAGTTTCACAGGCTTTGATGATCACCATTTCTGGCTGTGAAACATCTTCTTAAAGAAGAGTTGCTATGCGGAATCCTGAGCCCCACCCAGAACCTTCAGAGGTGGGACATTTCCACTTGAAATGACATGCAAACCAACCTGGAACAGCTAGAGAAATAGAAAAGACTTCTTGAAAGAAAGACTGTAGGGTGGGAGTGGGAGGAATCAGACTGTTAGGCTATGACAATATCAAGCAAGCTGTCTGCCTTGGAGCCATCAAGGTAAGGAACGTCAGTCCATTAGAGTAAACCCCTTTCTAAGACTGAAACTGGAACTTAAAGGGAACACATGAACAGTCTTGTATGCTCACTGGTGACCGCCTTGGTCAACTTGTGAGTGGATGTGGGGGAAATGCAGCAATGAAGACATGTGTTTGGCATGTTCCACAGACACCTGATGATCTAGAGATGAGAGAGAGAAGAGGAAGGGCTGGCTGGTTTAAAGTTCAGGGAGACATGTGAACTCCTGAGCCCATGGACACTGACCTAGCCAGTTACAAGTCAAGCAGCCAACTGGTCTGAAGTGTGTGTGTGTGTGTGTGTGTGTGTGTGTGTGTGTGTGTGTGTGCAAGAACTCCCAAACTTGCACATTGTACCATTTGACCTAGCTTGGGTGGCTTACTGAGCAGAACTTAATCAGATGAAAATAAAGAAGTTTGATACAGGGAGCCAGCTTGATAAACTGGACCTTTGCTTATGGATGAAGTTGTCCAAAATTCCAACCAAAAAGGAAAGCTTCTTCATATCAAGGATCAAGCTTGCCTCCTCTGTACACTGGGTTGATAGGTATGGGCAACTTAGACATCGGCTATCAAAAATGGGGGGCAAAAATGGTGAGCTATGAAGGCACAAAGTGGCTGGCTTACAAGCTTTCATGAGGGTGCTTAGTGTCAGACAAAGGAGGGTAAGATACAATCCCCATGGAACAGTTTTCCTCTTGTCTAGATGGATCTGGTGAATGGAGATCGGGGATAATGGGGACAGGATTTTATGATTCAACTGTGAGTAACTCTTAGCAGGACTAACAGCGATTGTCACTACTGTAAATGTAGAAGAGCTATAACTAAAAAGGGAAGCAGTTCATCTGTCATTTCAGGAAGAGGACCCGAGGACCATCATGGAGAAGAGCATAAGAGAAGTGAGGGAATCCTAACCAGGAAGGCAGTGATGGTGGCAGAGGCGACAGCATAGAGAGACAGAGCAACAAAAGACTATAGGCCCGGAGGAAGGTAGAATCTCCAGTAAGTAGTATTCAATCTGACTAGGCGGGGCTGATGCAATGAAATGCAGACGGGTATCTTGTGATACAGTAGTGAATAATTGTTATCAGGACTGATTGTGAGGGTCGGAAATGTAAAGGTAGACGTTTTATAGCAAGGAAGGGAGTGATTAGCTTTTCAGTCTAGGAGCGGAGATCCCTAGGACCATCAAGGGGGAAGAGCAGAGAGCGGGACCCTACCCAGAGAAGCAGTGATGCCTGAAATGGAGCCAGAGATGATGACGTGGAGCGATGGAGCAGCTGGAGACTTTAGATCCAGAGAGGGAGAGCGACTGTGTGCTGAAGACCTGGGGGGTACAGGGGAAGGATTGCATGGAGGGGATTGTAACCATGGCAATGAGACGATATACGGTAGAATGAATGTAAAATTAATGTTCTACCATGTAAACTATCACATAATTCACACACAAAAAAACATTTAAGAAAGAAAAAAAAAAAAAGACTATAGGCCCATGGACTGAGAAAGGCAGTGTGTTTGCAGACAGGAGACTGGCTTGCAAAATGTGAACATTTAAACAAATATATATTTGGACATTTAAGCAAATAATGTATCTTCAGTGTGGTATGTGCACATCAAAAAAAGGAAACAGAGGCAAATATTGTTAACTGATGGTACATGGATGGGCTTGAAATCATTGAAATGATTTGTTGAATGTAAAACTTATGATCTGCCCTGTAAACCTTCACTCAATTCACAACAAAAGCTTATTTTAAAAGAAAAAGAAGAGCTGCTTGAAGTCCTAGAGAAGATGTCTTGAGCACATGGAAGTGGCAATCACAAAAGTCTTGGGATAAATTCCAGGGGAGACATAGGACATGTTGATGGACCCACTTGACCTAGGCAAGGTACTGGACCAAGCCCACCAATGACCATCAACTTACCTGGACGTCCTGGAGCCACAGGGCCTGCAGGTCAGCAGGATCTAGCTTCTTACTGCTACCCCCTGTCTTGACCACCTGTTGCCCCACAAAAGGGGCGACCAAACGGTAGAACTTCCTCACAGATGGTCCTTCTGGCATTTCTGTGGGCAGAAGGGGGGGTGTGTCACTAACTTAGCAGTTTTTTTCTCTAGCATTTCTGACAGATACAAAGCAAATTTTCTTTTTTTGTTACTAACTTAGACAGTATACATAATCAGGAAAGGGAGGTTGGGCCAGATATAGAGAAGGACAAAGTTAAGGCAAGGTATGGATCAGCTTTCCAAAAGTCTTTAGTGAATGATTTCCTTTTCCAAACCTCCCTCATCCTTTGTCTTTCAGCAAACATTTATTAAACACTATATCATGGGCACCCTCTACTTCAATCCCATGGTAGCTGCTACCAAAGGAGTCCTTGTTGCTCTTTGCCTGGATGGCTGAGCCCCTAATCCATCTCCAGGCCTTCTCTGTCTGCACCCACTCCTTCCACAATCATTGCAACACAGGACTGCTGATTTTAGAGGAGAGATGGTCATGGCAGAGAAGGCTGTTAAGGACACAAAGACACAGGCCTGGATCCTGCTCTCCCAGGACCCCTGCCTTTAGTAAGGGACACAAGACATGTCCGTGATGAATAAAATGTAGAAAGAGCTCAGAATCATGACAAGTCCAGACACATAGGTTAACTCAGTTTAGAGCAGGGCAACCCCATATACAATAAAAGGAAATACTGCCTGGTCTTGCACCATCCCATGCTGGGTTACGGATAGGACTACTGTGAACCATCAGGTTTTCATTGGCTGACTTCAGAAGTATGAAGAAGGGCTTGAAGAAGTTCTTGGAAAAATGGAATTGTAAGATAATACAATTTATTCACAAAATTTTTGAAGTCCTACCTTCTGAGTCCACCTTTCTCTAAAAACTCTACTGAAACCTATTTAGCATTTTAGCAACACCCAAGCTTCTACTGGCAGATTAGCAGAGGCTGAACTTGAGGTGCACTGGTTAGGAATTTAATCTCCTGCAGAGAAGGTGAAAATTCTACCACTGACCCATCACTGCCCCCACCCACATCCAGATGATAGTTAATAATCCCCAGATAATTAAGAAATAGCTGTGGTTTTTATTTAACCCCTGTTCAGAGTTAACTGTGGCCCCTTCTCTGCCCTGCCACAAACCATCCTAATGTTGATTACCTGAAGCACTCAAGAGATTTCACCTGAGCTTCTCTAGCACACAAGGAAAGTGAGTGCTAGTCAGGATGACATGCTCTGGAGTTTTGCTCCTAGAGATCACCCAGAGAACATTACTTAAACACCTATGTTCTTATCAGCCCAAGACTAAGTTGTTGTTAGGTGCCATCGTGGGTCGGTTCTGGCTCACGGTGACTTCATATACCGTAAAATGAAATAATGTTATTCTCACAATTGTTGCTATGTTTTAGCCCATTGTGAGCCACTATGTCCATCAAACTTGTCAAGGATCTTCCTCTTTGTTGCTGACCCTCTACTTTACCAAGCACGATGTCCGTCTCCAGGGACTGGTCCCTCCTGATAACATGGCCAAAGCACATGAGACAGTCTTGTCAGACTCACTTCACAGATGCATTTTGGCAGTATACTTCTTCTAACACAGATTTGTTTGTTCTTCTGTCAATCCATGCTACTTTCAACATTTTCAACAGTCTTCACCAACACCATAAATCAAAGGCATCAATTCTTCTTCAGTAGTCTCTATTTGTTAAGCCTTTACATGCATATGAGATGATTAAAAAACAGCTTGCCTCAATAGTACATATAGTCCTCAAAGTGAGATATTTGCTTTTTAACACTTTAAAGAGGTCTTTTGCAGAAGATTTGCCCAGTGCCATATGTCATTTGACTTCTTGACTGCTGATTGCATGGGTGCTGATTGTGGATCCAAGTAAAAGGAAATCCTTGACAACTTCAACCTTTCTCTGTTTAGCATGATGTTGCTTATTGGTCTAGTTGTGAGGATTTTTGTTTTATGTTGAAGTACAATTCATACTGAAGGCTATATATAGTCTTTAATGTCACCAGTAAGTATGGCAAGTCCTTTTCCCTTTCAGCAAAGTTGTGTTATCTGCATTCATCCAATTCTACTGCCACATTCTTCATCATATACTCCAGTTTTTTAGATTATTTGTTCATCGTGCGGATTGAAAAAATACACTGAAAAAATATAACCCTGAAGCACACCTTTTCTGATTTTAAACCATGCAGTAGCCCCTTGTTCTGTTTGAACAACTGCCTCTTGGTCTGTGTACAGGTTCTGAAAGTGTTCTGGCATTACCATTCTTTGCCATGTTATCCAGTTTGTTATGATCTACTTAGTTCATATTCAATAAAACCCAAATAAACACCTTTCTGGTATTCTGTACTTTCAGTCAAGATTCATCTGCCATCAGCAATGATATTCCTCATTGCAGATCCCCTTCTGAATCTGGCTTGAATTTCTGACAGGTCTCTGTTGATGTACTGCTGTGACCATTTTTTAAATTATCTTTATCAAAAGTTTACTTGCACATAATACTGTTCAATAATTTCCACAGGCTGTTGGATCACTTTCTTTGAAATGGGCACAAATAATGGATCTCTCCCAGTCCAACTAGCTGCCTTCTAAATTTCTTGGCATAGTGAATGTTTCCAACGCTGCATAAGCTTGTTGAAACATTTCAATTAATATTCAGTTAATTCCTGGAGCCTTGTTTTTCACTAATGCCTTTAGTGTACCTGGGACTTTATTCCTTCATTACCATTGGTACTTGATCATATACGCTACCTCTTGAAATGGCTGAACACTGATCAGTTCTCTTTTGCACAGTTAACTGTATTCCTTCCATCTTATTTTGATGCTTCCTGTGTCATTTAATTTCTTGCCCACAGAATCTTTCAATATTTCAATCCAAGGTTTGAATTTTTTTCTTCAGCTCTTTCTGCTTGAGAAATGCTGATTGTTTTTCCTTTTGTTTTTTCTAACTCCAAGTTCTTGCACATTTCATCATAATACTTTTTCTGAGCTTTCCTTTGAAATTTTCTGTTCAGCTCTTTTACTTCATCACTTATTCCATTCATTTTAGCTACTTTACATTCAAGAGAAAGTTTTAGTGTCCCTTTAGACATTTTTTTTTTTTTGTCTTTTCTTTCTTTCCTGTCTTTTTAATGATCTTTTGCTTTCTTCATGTATGATGTTCTTGATACCATCCCCCAGCTCATCTGGTCTTTGGTCATTAGTGCTCGATGTGTCAAATCTGTTCTTGACATAGTGTCTAAGTTCAGGTGGATACGTTCAAGGTGGAGTACTGGTATGGTGCTGTAAAATAAGCAATGGTCCACTAACCTTAATGTTGGTGGTTCAAAACCACCAGCTGCTCCTTGGAAATGCTTTACAGTGTTGCTTTGCATGAGAGCTGACTTAATAGTTAACAACAATGCACTCAAGGTGGTAGTTTAGCTCTCTGGATTTGCTTTCATTTTCTTCTGCTTCAAACTGAGCTTACACTATGAGCAGTTGATGGTATGTTCTGCAGTTGGCCCCTGGCCTTGTTTTGGCTGATGATAACTGAGTTTCTCCATTGTCTACTCCCACAGATATAGTCAATTTGATTCCTGTGTGTTCAATCTGGCGAGGCCCACGTGTATAGTCGCCATTTATGTTGTTGAAAAAAGATATTTCCAGCGAAGCTGTTATTGGTATTGCAAAATTCTACCATTCACTTTCCAGCTTCATGTCTATCACCAATGCCATATTTTTCAACTATCAATCCTTTTTCTGTTTCCAACTTTCACATTCCAATCACCAATAATTATCAATGCATCTTAAATAAATGTTTGTTCCATTTCAGGCTGAAGAAGTTGGCAGAATTCTTCAATTTCTTCATCATTGGCTTTATGGTTGGTACATACATTTGAATAACACTATTAAACTGTTCTTCCTTGTAGGCATATGGATATTATCCTATCACAAACAGTACTGTACTTCAAGATAGATCTTGAAATGTTCTTTTTGATGATGAATGTCATGTCAGTCCTCTTCATCATTCCCAGTATACTAAGCCATATGATTCTCACATTCAAAATGACCAATACCAATCCATTTCAGCTAATACCTAGGATATCTATCTTTATGCATCCTAATTAATTTGTGATGACTTCCAATTTTCCTAGATTCATATTTGGTACATCCCACATTCTGACTACTAATGGATGTTGACATCTGTTTCTTCTCATCTTGACTCATGCTACATCAGCAAATGAAGGTTCCGAAAGTCTCACTCCATCCACATCACTAAGTCGACTAAACTTAAGTTCTGGTGTGGTGCTATAGGATAAGCATTGGACTGCTAACCACCAGGTCAGCAATTCAAACCCACCAGCTGTTCCTCGAAAACCCTATATTGGGTTACTATGAGTCGGACACTGCCTCATTGGATGGCGGATTGGGTAGACGTGTAGTGAGGAGGTCGGTCAACAACAACATGGAATACCAGGTCAAGAGGACTCATGAGTTGGTGTTGGAACTCTGTAACAAATATAAAGGTATGTTTGGAGTTTCGGAGGGTTTATAGCTAGGGGAATTTGCAGGAGAATCCAGAAATTCATTATTTTCTGGATCAAGACACTCAGCTGTTCCAGGAGCCGCCATCTTGGGAAAGCTTATCTTGATTGTACCAGGATTGATAGGATTAGGAGAGAACATC